AAATGCCTCTGAATCCCATGCTCCTTACAGAATTGTAGGAACTGTGAATCTGTGTACTCCGTACCATTATCAGACCGCAAACACTTGATTTTTCATCCTGTTTGGTTTTCTACCTCAGCTTTCCACAACTTGAACTTCTCAAAAACTTCAGATTTCTGTTTCAAAAATACACCCAAACTTTCCGTGAAAAATCATCAATAAAAGTAACATAGTACCTAGATCCACCCAAAGACGATGTCGTGGAAGGCCCCCATACATCAGAATGCATATAATCAAGAATCCCTTGAGTTGTGTGCTTCGTAGTCTTGAAACGGACTTTAGTCTGTTTACCAAGAACACAATACTTGCAAAAATCGAGCTTACAGCTTTTGACACCATGCAACAAGTTTCTCTTGTGTAATTCTGCCATACCACGTTCACTAAGATGAGCAAGGCGCATATGCCACAATTTTTTCGTATCATCACAGGACTCAACAGAGTGAACTCCACCTGCAACGGTACTCCCTAACAATCTGTAGATATTCCCTGCAGTCAACTTGCCTTTCATCACAGTCAATGCTCCTTTAACAATCCGAATGGTTTCCCTATCCTCGTCAGCCTTAGGGATAAAACCATTCTTGTGCAAAGTGCCCAAGGAAATCAAATTCTTCTTCAAGTCTGGGATATGTCGAACACCACTCAACGTCCGAACGGAGCCATCGTGCATCTTAATTCTGACATCACCAATACCAACAATATTGCAACATCGATCATCACCCAAATAAACCGAACCAGAATTAACCGTCCTGTATGTCGAAAACCATTCCCTATTTGGCGTGATGTGATAAGAACATCCAGAATCAAGAATCCAAGCATCCGTCAATTGTATCGTTGAAATAGAAAGCATATCACCCTCACTGCAATCAGAAGTATCATCCTCGACCACGTTCACAGACTTGGATGAGCCATCACGCTTCTCATCGGTCTGGTTTTTCAACTTCGGACAGTCTCGCTTCATATGTCTCGCCTCCTTGCACTTGTAACAGTGAATCGTCTTCTTATCCCTGTATTTGGATCTGGAATTCCGCTTCCCGGACCCTGCCTTCTCTGGCTTCCGTCCACGATCTCGATTACCCTTGACATATAAGCTATCGGCTTGAGAGCTTTCCCCTGCATTCTGCTTCCGCTGGTTGTGAGCCAACAAGGCTGCAGTAATCTCCTCAACGTTGATAGTCTCTTTCCCATATGTAAGAGTAGTCACCATGTGTTCGTAAGAGGAAGGCAACGAACACAACAGAATCATCGCTCTGTCTTCATCCTCAATTTTCACATCAAGCCGAGCCAAATCAGAAACGATTTGATTGAAGACATTCACGTGTTGCGCCAAATCGTGATCGTCCTGCATCTTCAGCCCATACAGCCGCTGCTTCAGATACAGTTTTGTCGTTAAGGATTTGGACATAAACTGACTTTCCAACTTCCTCCAAATTTCGTCTGGAGACGATAGATGCATGACGTGATACATGACCTCGTCCGCCAAGCATAATCGTATGGTTCCTGCCGCTCGCTGCTGCAATTCTTCCCAATCTTCCTCATCCATCGACGCCGGCTTTGTAGGTCGCAAAGCCTTCAAGATCCCTTGCTGCGCCAATAGATCCTTCACCCTCGTTTGCCATAATCCGAAGTTACCCTGACCATCGAATTTCGCGACTTCGAATTTTGCTCCTGACATCTGATACCAATTGTTGACGAAAACGGGTAAAGAAAACGAAAGAACACGAGAATTTTACGAGGTTCGGCAATGTGCTTACGTCCTCGGTGCCTAGGCGGCGCTAGAAGTTTTATTCAATGATATTTTAGGTCTAGGTTACATCTCTATTTATAATAGAAAACCCTGGTACATAATTACAAAATCAACCCTGTACCGTACCGCGGGGGGCTACGCCCCCACACCCCCAACCCACATAATTCGTAACCCCACAACGAGACTTTTTATGAGCCATACATAACAATTATAAACTACCTTAATATGCCTAAATAACATGTAGGATTCGTTAATTTGTACATACTAATTTCTTGGATATGTAGATGCCTTCTTCAATTAGTTGTAAATATTTGTTTTTGCATGTTTACGTACGTATGAGTATGCGAATGAATTACTTCTAAATTGCATGACATCACTTTTGTATAATAAGTATGATATCCTCATGAGCATAACTTCTCCCGATCGAATAATTGGAATAAAGGCTATACTATTTCATTTTACGATTGTTGTGAGGTGACTGTCTTAAGTTATAAGAAAGTTACTTTCGACAATTTTAAAATGAAATTGTATCATATTAATTGAAAACCCTAAAAATTGACCACGCCTAAAATTTGGGAACGAGAGAAAAATAAATTTTCTTCTATTTAAATTCTTCGAGAAAATATCATTAGAATTTATAAAAGGTCCGATCTCGATGTCTTTAAATAATACAACATCATTCTTCTTTCTAAAAGGATTGATAATTTTAAATTTATCTTGTTTTACTTCATTTTATCATCATTCATACATTCGAATTAATAATGAATTTTCAAATGGAATTGTAATATTTCTTTATTAAAATTGGAGTAAGAATTGATTGCTTTAAGGCATGAGAGGTTGTTTCTTCTCGATAAGAAATAATAAAATATTATTGTGTTTAGTTCTAAAATTCAAATAATATTATTTGAAGGTATCTTAAGTTAAATTAAATTTGAACTCGTAAATTTCATTGTAAAGACAACAAATTAATCGACTAGGTACCGATTTAGGGCGCTGTGGGGTGCTAACCCTTCCCTATGCCTAATCGACTCCCGAGCTTAATTCATTGGAACGTAGACCTAAAATGTTGTTTTAATAAAATTAAAATTAATGTTTTATTAAAATGACAATTTTTTAGGTGCCCAATCACACCCTAATTAAATATTGGTGACGACTCTTCGAACCATTTTTTATATTAAAAGAAAACACCAAATCAGACAAGATGAGATTTTTTTTATCACTTTATAATTAATTTTTAAGAAATCGTTTTGACACATTTAATGGGATCAAAGTTATAAATATTTAGATGACGTCAAACAACAAGATGAAGGGCATGCTAAAAGGCCTTAGTGACATTTCTTATATACTTGGTATGCTACTGCAGATTCTTTTATACATTTCCCAAATTTTGATGTATTGGTTTTGTTTGTTTGCTTAATAATGGCAAACATTGCTGCAAAATTTACGTCGCAGAAAATGCAGATGAAATGCCGATTGGTTTGCCGACAGAGGCAAAGCATGTGGCTCACATAGGATTGGATGCCTCATCTGTAAATTCTGCTGCTAAACGCAGCTGGCTCATAACATATAATTATCTTAGTAAATGTTTTCATTTTATTATGATCACAAAATATAAAATTGTCAATGTAAAAGGGGAACTACAAGTTTCATATTAATGAATATGAATGCGTTACTATCACCAGTACCTTTGGCTAAGGGAGCAAGAACCTACCTACTAAACGGGCTCCAAGCCACGCACTTTTTCCTTAATTTATCCTTTATTTAAGTTAAATATTTAACTTTTAATAGTATAAGATGATTACAAAATAATATCTATTTAAAATTTAAATTAGAAATAAATTAGAAAATGTATCCTAAATTAACAAACTATTTACAAAATAAAATAAATTTTATCTACAATCTACACTCTCCCTCAAGCTAGCGTGTATATATTATATAGTCCCAACTACTCTTGAGTTGAGACAAAACTAAGCTTATTGTTTCATTTGTGACCTTCTCAAAGATAAAATGACAATCTATCTCCACATGCTTCATTCGATCGTTCAGTACCAGATTCTTAACAATACAAATAACAAATTGATTATCACAACTTAGTTCAAAATCCTCACTGATTCATTTGAAGTTCTTTGACCAATCGTTGAACCTAAATACCTTTATAAATTTCTTGTGTCAAAACTCACACTGCTCTTTGTCACTACATTGTTTTCTTCTTCTCCAAGTTACCAAATAACCCTAGACTCAAGTGTAATACCCACTGGTGGACCTTCGAGATGTAAGCTCTCCTGCCCAGCTTGCATAGGTAAAAAACTGCCATTTTTCTGATCTCATTCTGGTAATATATATATATTCTTTATGGATGATGTTAACCGCAGTTATCTGCATATTCATTAGTTTGTGACATTTGGAATCAAGCCCTCTTTTTCCAATTTTTTTATTGATTTATAATATATTTTTTAATTATATTAAGACTTTATTTATAATATATTAAATAATTTTTCAATAGTCTATGATGATTATAAGATAATATTTATTTAGAATCTTTTTTGTCTATTGACAACGTATATATACTCATTTAAATAAATTTTTGAATTCAAGACTTTTTAGTGAAAACAATATTCTTTTTAGTCATTAAGATTGTAATAATTTTTATAGTGTATTAGTTATTGATTCTATTAGAAGGACGTAGAATTTTGTTTATTTATTTTTTTATTAATAATATATATAACTAATATAATTTAAATAATAAAATTAATTATTACTCCATAATATATAATCAAATTAATAATTAAAATAAAACCTAGACATTATTCACTTTATCACGAGATTCAAATTTTCAGAACTTAATTTCCATGAAAATATAAAATTGTTTAATAATTATAGGAAGGGAAAAAAGAGCAAAAAGATGGAAGTACATGATTGGAGCGGAAAAGTTTACCCGACTTTTATACTTCAAACGAAAAGACTTAAGGGTAACAGAGTATTTTCCAGTGTTAAAGATTCGCCTGTCAATCTTTGTCTTATATAGTATATACTCTCTCCTGCATTTCAGTTATCGTAAACAAACAGGAAAAATAAAGTGATGAAAAGGAGCGAATGAAATCGAGAGCTTTTACTTCTCTTCTAAAGAAGAAGAGGTAGTATTCTCGTCACTCCAAAAATAAAGAAAAAATATTAAAAAGAAATCTATTCTCTCGCACTCCGTTAATGGGAATCAAAGGATCGGATCTCATCTAATATCCATTGTAGTTGTTTGATTCTCTCTTTGGCAAAGAATTGTTGAGAAAACAAAAGAGGAAGAAATAAGAGGAAAAATGGCTGGTTCGCAGAGCGGAGATTTGAAAAGGGAAGGATGGTTGTATATAATACGTTCCAATCGGATTGGATTACAGTACTCGAGGAAACGCTACTTTGTTCTTGAAGATCATCTTCTTAACTGCTTCAAATCCATGCCCCTTTCAAATCTCCAGGTCACGTCTTTCATTTTTGTTTCTTTTCGGTTCTTTTTTTTTTGCTGAGAAGTTTATATTGGTATTAACGAATATTAGAAAGAAATAATGGCATTGAATTTATTATATTTTGTATTTGTTTTTAGTTACAAATTTTGGATTAGTTGAATTTATTTTAATAAATTTATTGCAAAGACGTTTTCTGGTAGAGTATGACTACTTTGATTAGTATAGGAAACTATGCGTTATATCTTTATTTATTTTTGTTGCTAGCTTTCTTTGCTCCTTATACTATTTTTAGTATATATATATATATATTCAATCGAGCTGTTTGTGCTGGTACTTTTATTTTTTGGGTTAGAAATGTAACTGTTTATAGATAAACTGAATCTGGAGAAAATGTAAAGCTTACAATCAGTTTTGTGTCAGGAATATTTTCCTTTAGGCATTCAGATGTCATAGTCTTTGTAGTTTGTACTCCTTAATCTTTAGTTATTATAGAGAATTGAGCTGACTTAATGATAATCATAAGCAAAGCAAATATTAGCTTTTTCATTATTATTGCAAAGAGCCCTAAGTCAAGAGATACCAAAGAGGGAAACAGATATTTAAATCTTGGACATGTTGGATGCCACCATTTAAGAGTGGCTGAATGAACCGAGTAAGCAAGCTCTTGGTCCAAAGCTTAACTTGAGCATAATTTGTGCCACGGTGATGTTTTTGTTTTAGGGGAACGTGGCTTAACCTTGAAAAAATAACCAATGATCAAGCTATTTAGTACTCCTTTTCTTGCTGTTGTAATTCTTGTTTACCTTTGGGAAAGTATTGTGTATAGGATTTAATGAATGAATACTTATTGATGCTAAGGTATTGTCTAGGCTCACATTCATTCTGAGTTAATGATCTTTGGTCTATAGTTTATAGTTTTGCAGTTGCAGGCTGTTTTTTTACTGGTTTGACAATTTTATTGGGTGAAAGAGTGAAACCTTGATTTTTCTTTCAGGAACCGGGTAGAAGTGCAATAATTGATTCCAGCATTCGAGTTACAGACAATGGGAGGGAGAGCATTCACAGAAAAGTATGTGAATAATTTGTCATTTCCTTCGGTGGTGGTAAATTTTTTAGTTTATATGTCAGTTTAGGCCATTGGACCCTTTGTAATGACTGTTCTTTGTTTGACGTTGTAGGTATTTTTTATATTCACACTTTATAATAGTTCTAATCACAATGATCAACTTAAGGTGAGGCAAATACATCACAAAAAGATTGTTAGTCATTTTCTATCATACTTTCACCTTCATGTATGAGATCTGGAATCTAAATTTATAGCTAGGAGCTAGTAGTCCTGAAGAAGCAGCAAGATGGATTCATTCCTTCAAGGAAGCGGCCATAAAGGTGCTGAATTGCTTCCTCTTGTTATTGGACATCGTAAGTTTTGGATATTAGATGGGATGAGCCTGAGACTGGATTGTACGTATGCAGGGTGGTCCATACCCTGGAAATGATGCAGCTTGTTCAAAGAGTAGATGGCAGTCCTTCAGGTATAATAACAAGTGAACTTTCCAGCTTTGATATTGAACACATAATATATTTCTGCCTTTTTTTATGTCTATTCATTCATGCTTGTATGTGATTTGGTTTCTTTAGAGATTTCTTGAAAAAATTGAGTTGGATTTGTTTAGAATATTTTTTTAGTGATGAGTGTCAGAGGACATGATGCTAGTTCTTTTTTGTTAGTTTCAAATTTATATCCCATTACTTTATATCAATTTCTTGGAAAGATTCCGTTCATGCAGATTTAGTCCCAGTAATGCAAATCACAGCAACTCTGTTGACTGGACTCTTTATTCATCTACAAAGACGGACAGAGTGACATCTGATGTTGTAGCACCATCACCTTGGACAATCTTTGGCTGTCAAAACGGTGAGTACTAAAAGATCTTTGGGATTTTTGAGATAGAATTAGTTGTTTGTCTAAGCCTGTGAGTGGAATGCAGGTCTCAGACTGTTTAAAGAAGCTAAAGATAGGACTTCTCATGGAAAGGTTCGTATCTTTTGGTTCACAGGTCAACTTTTTTATGGAATAGAATTTTGACTTTGTGTTTACTCCTCTCACCATTTGCAGTGGGACGACCATCCTGCAATTATGGCTGTGGGAATCGTAGACAGAACTTCAGAAGCCATTTTCCAGACACTCATGTCTCTTGGACCCTCAAGATCAGAGTAAGCTGCCAAGTATTTTGTATTTTTCTTGACTCTTATACCCTTCTTCAAGAGTCATGGTTTGATTTCAACCACAAATAGTACTTCAATTCTATGCATATTTGGAATTGTAGTAAATCTAGTATTGTGATTCATTGGAACATATTGCATTGCTATTTTTGTTTTCTCAGGGGACAACTTTTATGTGCCATTAGAGCTTATGACTCATTAAATTGTAATGGAGTAGAAATGTGAACTTAAGTTTGATGCATGATAGAACCTGAAACCATGTATCTTTACCTTTTTAATGTGAACTTCCACTCCATCTAGAAACTCTTAATACACTAAGTGTAATAGCCACACAAAAACCATAAGAGAGAATCTACGTTGTGAAGACAATGCCATGCATAGGTTTGGCATCTGTATTTGGTGCTCCTTTTCAATTCTTCTATTTGAATTATTATTATTTCCTTGATGCTCTCTTGTGCATCCTAAAGTTGTGCAAAATCACAATTTTGTTCATCTAGCAGAGTATTTTGCTTTTTCTGAAATGTTTTTTCCCAATCTTTCCAGAACCAAGAGTAACTTTGCAAATTGTTTTGCAGATGGGACTTCTGTTTCTACAAGGGTAGTGTGATCGAACATCTTGATGGTCATACTGATATTGTTCACAAGCAGCTATATAGTGATTGGTTGCCTTGGTCAGATCCAAATTTCAGATTTAGACATTATGTTTTGCACGGGTTTCTGTTTATATATTTTCACTATGTAACTATACTTGCAGGGGAATGAAAAGAAGGGATCTCTTGTTGCGGCGCTATTGGAGAAGAGAAGAAGATGGGACATATGGTAGTAATTACTTTTAGGAAATTCTCAAAATATTTATTCGGAAGTCAGAGCCCGGTTCGATTATAAACTCTCTTCTTTTGATTGATATTATCACAGTTATTCTCTACCACTCGGTGTTTCACAAGAAGTGCCCCCAACAGAAAAGCTATGTCCGTGCCAGCCTTAAAAGTAATGTATGCCTAATATATATGAACAAAAGAGATCTTTCTGAGTTCTCTTATTCTGGAGTTATAATTTAAATCCTTCATAAACATATTTAAGATGCATTAACTATTTTCAGTTTCACATATCTTACAAGACTTTTTTCTTCTTAGCATCCCTTGTGTGCATTAACACATGCACATTTACTGGTATCTGTCTGTGTTTGAATGTGGAAACATCCTTTGACTTCTCAGCTTGAATACTGCTGATAAATGCTTATTCCATTAATTTATTTTGATTTGTTCAACTTAATCATTGTCCTCACATACTGCACTGCAAAACTTGCAGGATGTGGCTTACGATGTACACTTAATTTCGTTTTTAAGAATACGGAAGGATATTAGTATTTTTTTTTTAGAAAAATTGAAGTTAATCTGCCAGGTTAATATTTGGCACTTACTTGCAGGTGGTGGATATGTCATAGCTCCAGTCACTGAGGGAAAACACTCGGTTGTTAAGCACATGCTTGCAATTGATTGGAAATTCTGGAAATCATATCTTCAAACGTCTGCAGCCAGATCTATTACCATTCGGATGCTTGAGAGAGTTGCTGGTAATCATATATCCTGTTATAAATTGCGTAATATATCACCCTAAAATTGAACTGCTAATGTAATCTTATTTATCAGTCCATGTATTGTTTGTACTTGTGTGTATGTGTTACAAATATGTTTTATCTTTTGAGTTATTAACTTTCAAGGAATCTATTTCATGTACTTGCAGCATTAAGAGAATTATTCAAAGCAAGACAAGGAAACTATCCTTCTGCTGATCTTTCATCTGGAGAGTTGATATGGAATGTTAGATTGCATCAGAGTGAAGAGGAAGGCATGGTTGATATGTGTAAACGGATAGAGGCTGGAAAAGCCAAGGAAAACATGATTGTAGCAATGGAAAGGGCAACTTCAGAACACTCGAGTCTGGTAGGTCTTAATGATGCTGCCGATGAATTCTTTGATGTTCCAGAATCAACAGACTATGATCAAACAGAAAATGGATGGGCTTCTGACTTTGGCCCCGAGGTATACTCTCAGGTACAACTTACAAGTCAAAGTTGTTATCCTTGAATTTTGCATACAAATATATTTTTGGTTAAAGTTGCTCCATATCTCAAAGAGGATGTGAACCACTACAGTTTTTCCACCTTTTCTATTTCATTTCTAGTGGCAACATTACTGTTACTGTCACATTGGATGAGACCATTAAAGTTTAGTGTATGTCTAACTTTGATTTTCTCACTTCTATGTGACTGAAAAACTTTCAGGATATGCGCCAACCAAAGTTATCAACAGCTGCTGTTTTTGTCAAAAAGATACATGATCTTGCAGGTGGTTCGTATTTTGATGTATTCACTTCTAAAGATTTTTCTTTCCCATAGGTAGTTATGGAAAGATAAATTGCTGATTGCATACAATTTTTCTATTTTACAGTCCAAAAGAGGGGCTATATGGACTTGCAAGACATCACAAGGGAAGATGGTATATGTTGCTCCTATGGAAACACTCTTTCTAAGGATCCAACTTGTACATTGCCTTGCAGTTGGACAGAAGCAGAACCCACCACATTTTTAATTCGTTGGAAAAATTACCTAGAAGATCGAACAAAGGTATAAAGAATGATGTTTCAGTGTGGTTTGAGGTCAAAGTTGAAGCATATAACAAAAGTTTTGCTGGTGTGTTCTATGATGGTCCATTTTATGCCTTACTACATTATCTTCCAGTCAAATGGCATGTTGTCTATGATGATCTCTAAATTATTCATTTCATTCCATGTGTTTAGCTCTTGGCATGGCTTAAATACCAGTTGTAAGGTTTGACAGTTGTAGGTATTATATGTTGATTAGCTGCAAGTAGTATGATACTGGATATCTCTATTAAATTCATTTTGGCTTTCCTTTTGCATAGCTCCATTTTTAGTTTTCCCGTATTAAATTTCAACTTCCTGTCCTTTACTCTTGTTTTCTGCCAGTTTAAGGCAAAGGGAACGTTGATGCAAATGGTCGCAGCAGATTGGTTAAGATCGGACAAGCGAGAAGATGATCTAGGAGGGCGTCCTGGGGGCATTGTTCAGGTTTTCCTTTAATATATGTCATCTTTTTTCTTAATTGAGATTTTGTGGTCATTGCACACGAGTCACCTGTAACCTCAAGCTGTACTTATTTCATTTTGCAATATGTTGCTTGTGAATTGAAAAATGAAAATAAATTTGTAAGTGTTTATTATCAGAAATATGCTGCTCGTGGAGGGCCAGAGTTTTTCTTCATTGTCAACATACAGGTACTTTGGTCTCAATTCTGTCAAAGTGGTATGCATTTCTATCTTCATTTTTGTTGGTTCTTGAGTATTTAAAATAATCGAATCATTAACATGACATAGGTGCCAGGTTCAACTACATATAGTCTAGCACTATATTATATGATGAGTACTCCTGTGGACGAAACACCCTTCCTACAGAACTTCGTCAATGGGGATGATGCATATAGAAATTCAAGGTTTAAGCTCATTCCATACATATCAAAGGTTGGTGTATGCAGTTTTTTGCAGTTGCGATTGAGAATCTCGGGTTATTCTTGTATTGAAGTGAACTCACTAAGGGTTTCATCAATAATAATAATAAAGAGCTTGTGTTTAATTCCAGTTAAGCAGAAGAGGAGGAACATTTATATTCCTACTCGGTGTTTTTAAAGTACTGAGATCTTAAAACGAAATCACTTACCCTTTTTATCAGTTGCATCACTTAGATTATGACTTTTTACTACTGTGAAGATTTGCTTTGTAAGAAATCCTTGCACTAAAGGTCTCTGAGCTAAGTCTATCCATGTCGTGTGACTTACGAAGAAATGAATAATAGCATGCATTCTTTGCACCGAGGACTAGCTGATTCTGTGGTGTATACAACTCTATTTCACATCACATAAGGTAATGTTCTGACAGTTGACTTTTTTCTGGTTAGGGATCATGGATAGTCAAGCAGAGTGTTGGAAAGAAAGCTTGTCTAATTGGCCAAGCTCTGGAAATTAATTACTTCCATGGGAAGAACTACTTGGAGGTAATTTTTTTTTTCTTGTACTACTCTACACCTTCTGTCCCTATCTATTTTTTTATATATGTTTATTTAAGCATTTTCTCATTTCGGAAGAATCGGTGTGTTTGAATAGAAAAAGAAAAAAGTTAAGCGCGGTGCAGTTATATTTGTCTACAGTTGTTTGCATTGTCAATAAAGAAGTACAGAAACCTGATAATTTCATGATAATAAAAATTAAGTTGGATAAATTTCATGATAATATTTCCCTTTCTGTAGCAAGCGGAAGAGGCACATAAGTTACTAATCTGTGCAAAGCATGTGACATGGCAAACTAAAATTTTGCAATCATCATTTCAGCTTGGGATTGACATTGGGTCATCAACAGTGGCAAGAGGCGTGGTCAATCTTGTGCTTGGCTACCTCAACAATCTGGTTATCGAAATGGCGTTTTTGGTACAGGTAAAATCAAACACTATATGCAAAACAGCGATAGACATAAACGATAAATGCAAGTAAATTTAAGTGGCTATTTTCATTTAATAAGATACCTCAACCTCTCATCTTTATATCTATGATCTGAGATAGTTTCATTTAATCTTCTTATATGCAGGCCAATACCGAAGATGAGCTCCCGGAATACCTTCTTGGGACATGCCGATTGAATCACCTGGATGCTGCGAAATCTATTCCGGTAAAAGTATGATTAATTCTGAATCAGATGTTTACTCACTAGCCTGGTTTAAGAAGCTTGGATTTGACGAAGAATAGCAATAAATCATATTAATTACTGCAACAAGAAGTTTCATTCTTTTATTCAGTCAAATGAGCATATATTCCTACAGAAACAGAGCATTTGGTGCGGTAGAAAACATGTCATTGAAATGAAACACAAGCTTTTGTACAGGTAACTCAGGCAAATTTCTCATTCCGGTTACATCCCTTTAAAATTTACCCGAATCACATCAAGATTTGCTGTACATTTCATTGATATAGGCTTATAATTGAACGGATTCTGTTGATTTAGAGTCCAAGTGGGTTAGTTAGAGTTTTAAAATGGTTTTTTTTTTTGTTTTGGGGTGGGGGAGAGGGGGGGGGTGGGCAAATGGGGTGAGGTCCTGGAGCACCACACCATTTTGGCACTTTGGCGCCTAAAAGAAAAGCCAAAAAGGTCCAAGTTTCTATTGTTTCACCGCGTGTCCCATTCATTTCCCCAAGGCGACAGCATGATATATGCAGTTATGGATTAGAATAATCAAACAGTCCAACTCCAAACCCACTATGACCCTATTTCACTGTTTTCCAGTTCCTACAATCCAAAGTCCAACCCAACACGTATCAAACAACTAAACAAATGAAAAATTTACTCTCTATTACGTTGTTAATAAAACTTAAAATAAATTATCTTTTTAATGCAACATCAAAACATGGAATATAAACAAGAAAGAACATGAAGGCCGGGGCCAGGTATAGGATAAAGCACAATTTGATGCATATTTTGGCGAAGGATGGCTTGTTCGCATTTCCTTGATGCACAACTCCTGTCTCACACGTCTAATTGTAAAGGTTTCAGTTTTATTCATTTCACAAATGTCTATTCCATTCTCGCTTATAATAACATTGAAGTAACATAATTTATTCCACTTGTTTATTCATCTCCTTATCACTAATTACTACTCATATACTCGAATTCCAAATTTTAATTAATATATATTCATGATCTGAATTATAAAATTATTTTAAACTTTATTCATTCCATTTGTCTTGAATTCTAAATCATTGTTGGTTTAATATCTTAAACTAAAACATATTTCTTTATTAATAATTATATATTTTATTCTTAAATTTAATTTTTAATTAATAAATAGAAATTTGATTGAATTGGACTGATCCAAATTCAAAATTCATTGTTCATTTTGAATTATAATTTCCTAGAGAATTTTTTGTCATTTTTTGCTTACAAACCATTAGTTTAGTAACATAATCTTTGTGAGGTTTTGTGTTGAGCATGAGTTACATTATTCAATTTTGTGTAACTCCTACCGATTATTCTAAAAAACACATTACAGTCTTCATTAAAAATAATATTTATTGTCACCAGCTCTTCTGATATATTAATATTTTGATATTTCATTTAAAACATTGTAAAGTTTAAGAGATTCATATCGAATTTGAACTATAAATCAAAGATTAATTAACCATTTTCTAAAGGTTAAAGAAATCCATTCCTAACTTGATGAAAAAAATATGCATTTTTTCTTCTAGATTTTTGTTATTTAAAAAATTAATAGTGATAAATAATTATATAAAAATTTATTTACAGGGTTTAATTCATTTTATTTGTTTATACAAAATTTATGTGAAAACATTTTTTATCATAATATTAATTAAAATTTAAATTAAAAATGATTTAGTGATAATTTAAAATGAATGGTGTATCTAATTATATATATATATATATACATATATGTATCTTAGATTTCATTTTTACAGTTCTGCACTCTGAAAGACGTTTGTAAAATGTGGAACATAAAATGCGCCCACCGTCTCATTTTTCAACGTTGTGTAGATCATATCATCATTCCTAGTTTCTTTCTTCTCAGGCTGCTTGTTCTGTGTTCTTCTTCGGACACAGATCACGACCTTTATCTCCTTTTTGTTTTCTTCTTTCTCATTTATTTTCCATGTAAATTTCTCCCAAACCCTGTTTGGCTACCGAGAAAACTCTTTTTTTCTTTTCTCAAAGAAAAAAGAAAGAAAGAAATTCACAACTAAATTGTTGTTTTTTGTGCATGATCCTTGTGGGGCCGAATCGATTAAAGAGTTAATTGTGTACCTAAAGTCCCGACACAGCTTCGAGGGGATTTAATTTATGAGCACGATATCCCGTTATTCGATACAGGTAACCCACTATTTCCGAATTATTATTTTAAATTTCCGGAATTAATCTCTCTTCTCCTCTCCTTCTGTTTTGTTTCGTCTCTGGTTTTTAATTAGGGTTTTATTGTGATTTGTGATCCTCCTGCTCCGTCTTTCTGGTTCGTTTTCGCCTTTATCTTGTTATTTCTTTGATTTCTTATAATAATTATTACTTCTTTCTTGGCAGTGATTGGGATAGGAATTGAATGAATGGATCCTATTGTAAAATGCACAATTTTGTTAATTATTCTTGGATTAGGTATTCACTGAACAATTTCTTTCCTTTTTTCATTGATCTTGATATTTTGAAGTGTTCATTATTCTGAGTCCCCCCCCCCTTTCTTTTCTGATTATGTTTTAGTGGGGAATGCCTTCTCCATAAATGATTATGAGCATTGCGAAAATGTGGTTAAAAAATGGGCAACTACTTCGCTAAACATGAACGCAACGAGGATAAACACACGTTGAAGGATTTACTCTTCTTCCTTCATGTTCCTCGAACCGGTGGGCGAACCTATTTCCACTGGTAAATTTTAGTAGTAAGATTCATATATTGTATATGAATGAAATGTAAGAATTCATCCATTTTGCTAATTGAATTTTTTTCTTATTTTGTTTATGCTGGCAGTTTCTTAAAGAAGTTATATTTGAGTTCTCTAGAATGCCCTCGTTCTTATGACAAGCTACGGTTTGATCCTAGGTACCTTGGGAACTTCGTTTGTATTCAAAGTTGAAGGATTAGTTCACCTTGTTATGTGTACTTTTTTCTTTCAAGGTTGTTTGCTTTAATTTTTCCACTTGAATGCAGCAAGGAAAAATGCAGGTTATTGGTTACTCATGATGACTATAGCATAACCTCTAAACTTCCCAGGGACAGGACGTCAGTGGTGACAATACTTAGGAATCCAATTGATCGTGTCTTTAGCACTTACGAATTTTCAGTGGAGGTGGCGGCTAGGTTTCTAGTGCATCCCAACTTAACATCTGCCAAACTAATGACTGGTCGTCTACGATCCAAAAGTAAAGGTGTAAGTACTCTGGATATATGGCCTTGGAAGTATCTGGTTCCATGGATGAGAGAAGACCTGTTTGCACGGGTATGTTGTATCTAATCCTGTTCGAGTTCTTATTTCGTTGTCATCTTAAACCTTTGCCTTCTATTTGTTCAACACATTTTATACCTTTTTAGGGAAGGTCATCATATATCCCTGGATTCAAGTTTTCTCTAAATCTCATGCCAATGATACTTTTTCCCATTTAGTGTAGAAGTCTTTATAGAAAGCCTTTCTCGTATGCATTTTAGTGCTGCTGGTAATTGTTAGTTTTTTTTGTTTTTATTTACCTGTTCAAGATAGCATTACTTTGACCAATGTGCGAACATCTCCACTTTTTCTTCTCAGTTGCTAAAACCTACCAGATCTGCATTTATTTTATGTGGTTCGAATTGATCAAGATGGTGATGTTGTCTTTTGAATTCTACTGTGACTTTTGTATGGTTCTTAATGAACCTTTTTGTGTCGATGATATAATTATTTTGAGATATTTACTTCTACCCTTGTCCCTTGCTTGCAGAGAGATGCTAGGAAAGCTAGGGGCACTACTGAAGTTTCGAGCAATGATCCATACAACACGGAAGACGTTGCAATGCCATTACTCAATTACATCAATGATCCATTAGCTCATGAAATTGTCCATAATGGAGCAACCTTTCAGGTACTAATCCACATTTTGCAGCATTTCTATCCATGTTGTTCAAACTCCAAAACCGGTTTACTTATTTAATTTACAGATTGCAGGATTGACAAACAACTCTTATTTACCTGAATCACATGAGGTGCGCCATTGTGTAGACAAGTACCATAATCTTGGTGACTATGTGCTTCAAGTTGCAAAGGTAATTAAAATAAATTTTAATATCTTAAGAACTGTTCATATAGTTTTTCTGATTTCCCCCTGTTTTCTGGTATAGTGTTGCAATTATGGTAAATACTTGTAAATCTTGCAGAAGAGGTTGGACAATATGTTATATGTTGGTCTAACTGAGGACCATAGGGAATCTGCAACAATGTTTGCCAATGTGGTTGGACAACAAGTGATTTCTCAGTTGGCAAACTACAAACCTATTGGTGAGGGAGCCACTGTTAACAGATCAGGTTAGTATGGAATTTTATTGAAATATCCTCCTGAAATTTGTTTAGTGCAGAAAGCCTTGTAAAACCTTGTTAAATGTATTTGATTGTATTACATTAAAGTGCTGATTTTGGCACATTGTTATTTCGTATCTTTCTCTAAACCAGTTGAAATCAAGATACGTTTAGCTTACTTAAATCACTTGTGCTGCAGAACCGAGAAGTTCATTATCTGATTCAGAACTGGATCAGGTGCTGTATTATAGCATCTTAATAGCTGGATACCATCCAGAGTAGTAGTACACTTAACGAATTTCTTTTTTTCTGGCATGACAGAATACCAATTCAGACGAGAAGGGGAATGAAGCCACACCATCATCAGATGACAATGACATAAAGCAAGAGAGTGTAGGCCCTTTTGTGTACTGTAATATCCAACATCTTTTATGGGCTTGATGTGATACTTTTCCTTATTAAACAAGTATACCTTTATTTTTTTTCTACCATAACAGATGACTGTGGGAAAACTTATGGACACATATGAGGTTTGCATTTCCAGTTTGCGAAAGACCCAAGCACGTCGGCGTATAGCTTCTTTGAAGAGAATCTCACCAGAAAATTTCACAAAGGAGGTAATCTAAAATACCGAACATTTAAATACATGTAATCTATTTCTAGAGCATGGTTGGTTTAACTATACAACTATTAGTCATGCCTTAATAGACCTGTTTTATCTTCTCATCCTTATGCCGGTCCATCTTTTTGTCAAGGGAATTAGATTTCCAGTGCCTTGATTGTCTTACATGTTTGGGGTTGTCATTTGTAGTTCTATTATGTGTACAAGTAGGGAAAATTTAAGTTTTCAAAAGTAACTGGAAAAAACATTTGAAATTAGTAACTGTGGTCTTTTGGGGGGCTTTAACATCAATATCCAGTAGAGTTTTGTGGAAAAGTGAGTGAGAAGTAAAATAAAATTATAAAAGAACAAGATCAAGTGATCACTTCAATCTTGAATTGAAAGTTCAGGTGTAGCTTTGTTGATGTTTGGATCTTCTATTTATTGTTGACATCTGGATTTACAGGCACGTCTTCAAGTTCCTCAGATGGTCCTTCAGCAGATACAATCACTTAACAAGCTTGATTTAGAGCTCTATGAGTATGCTCGACGCATCTTTGCAAAGCAGCACAAGCAAGCAGCAGAGAGTTTGTTTGATACGGTGAGCTCAGTACACATCCAAGGCTTTCAAATATGATTTTTCCAAGATGCTTACAGGCATACTACTTTCCAAGGATACATAATAGTAAAACCATATGATTGATTCACCGTAACTTGTAATTTCCTGTTAGTCAATGTCAGGTGAAACATGACCTGAACCTTTTTAATTATGCATATCATTGATCTGCTTGGTTGGTATTTATGTTCTTGTTTTAGGTGCAAGCAGAAATAGTTTTAATTGTTTCAATCAAAGTGGCATCCTTATCATGCTCTGCATAATTTTGCAGGAAACACTTGGAAGCATCTTCTTTTATTCAGGTGGCATGAAGCTTTGGGATGCCTGTTTGTGGACAATGCCATTTGTATTGCTGTTTATCTTCTGTTTGTAATGCAAAGAGAACTTTGAAAGTAAAGATATGAATGTTATTGACTATTGGTTACAAGGATCATAAATAAAGGAAAATAGTTGTATAAAATGGATGAAAGAATAGAAGATTAGCTTATATTAGTCATCATTTTGGAGTGCTTAAACGTTGGCTACAAGGGTTTTGGTAGAGATTTTATTAGGATGTTATATAAAAGAAGAGGAAGCTTTATGATTTGTTTTCGCATCACACAATGACAATCTCATGCAGTTGTGTAGTTCCTTTCAGGTGCTTTTGGTTGGTAGGATGGTGAGAGGGTAAGCTCATATGCAAGGGTCCACTTTTGCCTTCTTTCTGTTTGTTAAGAATTGAGACTTGTGATTTTGAGTTTTCAGCTTTGGAAAAGGTGTTGGGGGTATTATCTCATGCAGTTGTGTAGTTCCTTTCAGGTGCTTTTGGTTGGTAGGATGGTGAGAGGGTAAGCTCATCTGCAAGGGTCCACATTTGCCTTCTTTCTGTTTGTTAAGAATTTTGAGACTTGTGATTTTGAGTTTTCAGCTTTGGAAAGGTGTTGGGGGTATTTTCAATATATTGTGAAAGGATGCCCTTTATTTTAGTTGTGATTTTACTCTTTTAACTTTGTGATTGAGAGACTCACACCAACCTGATCAGGTATTTGACGATGAACTCGAGATTTTATATTATGAATGAACTTATAAAAGTTTTCGAGACAAACCAATAGAATTTTAAAGAACAAAAATTAAATTGATTTTTCAATGAAGATATCAAAATAAGAAATTTAAAATGTTTAGGGGAGTAATTGTTTTTACCATCCCTCTCAATCTATTCGTGCGTGTGTTTTAGATCAAACTATGTAACATGTGTCTTTTAAGGTCTGATTCTGGTTGATCCTTGTACTATGTTGAAATCCAATATTTAATTCTCCTAATTTAGCATAATTTTATTTAGTAGCTCCGAGTTTTTAACCTCTTCAGTAAATGTCACTAAAGTAATGATGCAATTTTTTTTTAAAAAGTACAACTTTAAAGCATTCGGTTGGATTGTCACGTGATTTTAACTGTGCGATTGAGTTACTATAGAAATATTATCCATGTCATCAATTTAACAATAGAAACTAAAATGGTTATCAATTTAGAATTAGAGTAAATTATTAAACTCTGCCCAAATTGGTGTAGAGTGATTAATCTCAAATTTCAGCATAATAGAGGGGTTAAAACCATAATAAGACCTATGTTTAGTGCCAAACTGAGGCTATCAAATTTAAGTTGCGTTTTGATGACTTGACTTCCCATTTTGCGTTGATGTATGGTTAATCAGATCGGCATGCAAACATTTTCAAGCTACGTAGGGATAACATTCAACATTAAATCTATTGATGTAGAAATTGAGGAGTCCAATATTAGCGGCTTGGAATAGTATATTTTCCCAATATTAGCGGCTTGGAATAGTATATTTTCCCAAATATCAAAGGGTTAATGCTCTTTGTACCCTAAATGGCTACTTTGAATGTTTTTATTAGGCATATTGAATCTCTGGATGAAAGCCTATTTTAAAAGAGATGGGAATATGATTTTCAAACTCTCAAAAACGGATTAAGACATCCTAGAATTCTAAAATTCAAACCCCTCTAACCCCCCCCCCACCTTAGCCACTATGGTCAAATCTTGAGATGGTGAGCTTAAAATAGAGTTCTATGGGAGAAGATTAATAATCTTACCTTTACTAATTCGGCCTTGACTTGTTAAACAATCAAGCTCTCACCTTTGATCACTCACAAAAGGAAAAAGTAGAAAGCATGGAGAGGAGACAAATGGTGGAGAAAATGGGGAAGAAAGTTTTCATTCTTTTCCCATGACATCACCCAATTTTAATGATTTCAACCTTTCAAAATTTTAAGGGTTAATGACCACTTTAGTCCTTATTCCTTTAGCATATATTAAAAACAATATTCTTTTTAACATTTTTGGGGCTCAACTTAAGCCCAACTCATACCAATGTTAAGCCAAATTTTTTATGAAGTCCTACCATAGCCACTCTAAGTCCAAACAATTTACCCAAAATTATTAGCATGATATTAGAGATGTTACCTAATATATCTGAGTTTAAATAGTTATATTTATTAGATGTGTATCAATAAATTAAAAATTAAAAATATTATTTTATAATCACCTTATATTAAATCAAATTATACACGACTCTAAAGCAATGAGATATCATTAAGTAGAAGACGGTTACTTACTATTCATCAAAGTTTAAGCTACTTATTTTCTACTTTGCTTTTTGTATTGGAAAATGCTCTTTGCCATAAAATTGATTGAATTTTAAGGTATGTCTTCGGTAGCAGATTTATAAATATTTTTTAAGGTAGACACATGTCAGTTAACAACATAAAAGTTTTAAATAAAATGAGAACAAATAAAATTTCATGTGGATACCGTTAGTAAAATAATTAATTAATTGAAGAAAACTTAAATTTTAAGGTGGACACTGTCAATAAAATAAATAAATAATTAAAAAATTCAGATTTCAAGATGAACACGTGACCACACTCATTAAGGTGCGACTCCGCCTAGGAATGGGCATGGGTTAGGTTTGGTTAGGGTTTTGGCCAACCGACCCGACCCAAAAATTTACATCCTTCACCCGACCCGAATCGAAAAATATATACCATACACCCGAACCCGACCCAATTTTTTTATATAAAATCCGATCCTTATCCAACCTAAAATAATAAAAATATTATTTTTATTCAATAAAAATAGTGATTTAATCGAAAAAATAATATAGGAGTATTATTATAATTATTCCTAAATATATAAGGTAAAATTATATTTTTTCCCAGATCGGGTCGAATCAGGTATTTTTTACTATAAACTCGAATCGACCCGACCCGAACATCACCTTTAAAAAACCCGACATGAATTCAATTTTTTTTAAAGATCAAGTCAGGTCAAGTTGAAACCCGTCAGATTCAGGTCCCATGACCAACCCTGTCTCCGCGACTGCATGTTTAACCCTTTTCGGTTTTGTTTATTATCGGTGAAGTAAGATTTCATTGAATACCAGCCCATCATTACAATAATTTAATACTTAAAATGCAAGTAACTTCAATTCCCTTCATTAAATTTTTAATTATCAATTTATTTTGATTTCTGTTTGTAAGACTTTTTTTTATTGGTGAGAAAATATGAGATTAAATAAGAGTATTTAAATATTTAATTTTAATTAAATTTATTCGATTAGAATATATCAAATTAAATTTTATCTCAAAATTTAAGATAATTTTAGACGAATGATACTGCTAAAAACTAAAATATTTGAAATCAAGTGAAGACTTCTAGTTTTTCAAGTATAGATCATAACAACAAAATATTTTACCCGTTTTATTCTTTGTTCATCCATAATTGTTAGTTCTAGCGTGGGAGTGGATAATAATATAATGCTTAGGCTCTAATTGAGTTGAGTCTGAATATTATTGAGTTCGATTTGAAAAGTTTAAAATTAAGTTTAATTTGATTTGAAACTTGCGAGCTTAAAATTATTAAGCTCGACTCTAAGTCGAACAAAAAATTGAACCTCGACTCGATTCAAATTCTTGTGAGCTTAAAATTTTTAAGTTTAAATCGAGTTCGAAAATAATTAAACTCAAAACATTCTCGGACTTAACTCGATTGAAGCTCAAACTCAAGCTTGAACCTAAACCTTAGGTACACTAATCCTTAATGGTATTTAAAAAAATAATATATAAGTATTAATATTATTAATAATTTAATTTGAAAATCTAAAAAAATTAATTTATTATTTTTTGAGTTGCTTGCACGATTTTCAAATCGGATATCAAATAGTTCAATTCGATTCGTTAGTAATTCAATTCGAAATCAAAATTAACTTAAATCCATTTAATTTGAGTATTGATCGAACTTTGATCAAATCGATCTTAAAGAGTTTGTGAAACGTCTCATCGTCCTAATAAGGTTTTTTGGCCCAATAAGGCACCCGCTGTAATTATTTGGCCCAATAGGGCACCTCAAAAATTAATTTGGGATCTACGACATTTTCTATAGTCCAGGGCAAACTCGTCAAGTCGAGGTGACGAGTTTCATTTGATATAATTTTTATATTTCAGACCCAATATTTTAATATTTCCTGTGAAACTCATCACCTCAAAGTGACGAGTTCTATTAATTTTTTTTCTTCAAATTATTATGTGAATTTAATGTTAGAAAGAAAAAATATATAGAGGAACTCATCACGTCGAGGTGACGAGTTCTGTTAGATTTTTTTTTCTCTCCAAAATGTGGTAGATTATGTTGCAAAGAACAATAAACTATGAACATTATATTAGACTTTCAGAAATGCACATTAGGAAGAAAAAAACTACAAACTTAATACATTAACATAAGGACGTAAATAAGACTATTTCAATCAATAAAGTCTATTCTTGATCAACATAAGGATTATCGGCTTGCTCGATATCTTGGTAGATGTAGACAATGCTTCCTATTGTGGCCTTCACCTCTGTAGTGGCCACATAGCTTTGGCAGACCTTGCTCTCTTTGAGGGTCATCCATAATAGAATGAATTCGACTAGATTCAGGATGACGCCTCAACTTCCTTCGTAATTGCAGATTGGACAATCATTCTTCAGAGACAGTAGGTGGCCAATATGCATCGTTCGGGAGATACTTAAACTCGTAATTGTATATGTTGCACATAGTATACAAGCTATAACAATCACCAAGGATTTCACCGAATCGCCCGATGAGGTTATCTTCATCTTCGATGGTCCTGCTTTTGCGGTCACCGGTTCAACAATTGATAAAGTAGAAACATCTATAGTTTTGGTAATAATCTCAATCATTTTATTATTGGAAGATTGATGAAGGCCAACCATAACAGCTACATCGTCGTCGTCGTCGAGCATAATTGCTCCATATTTGAGCAAAGTCTCTGAAATGATGTGTCGATATCTCAAACTTGAAACATAACCTCTAATTTTTTTCTTCCGAATTTTATCTTCATTTGCCGATAAGATACATCTATTGGAAACATCATGTTCATGGGCCTCTGTGACATTAACTGAACATCATCTTCAGTTTCGACAACTTGGCCATTTGGGTGGACAACTATGAAAAACTTGTTTTCCATAGCTTCAAAGAGAGATTGGTTTTTTACTTGTTCAAAACATTTGTAAAAATAACAAGTCTTGTGAAGATTCATATAAAGTGAGCCAATTTAAAACAAATACGACCAATCATTAATTACC